AGTGTTTTACTTTGCCTTTTAAGAGTAGCACAATTTTTCTTTAAGTAACTGGCAATCCAGAAAAGGCCTCGTGTCAAATTATTTGACTTCTACAGCTGATTTTTTACTAAAAGTATTGCATTAAAATATGAAAAAAATCCCCACCAAAAATAAAAAAGCTGAGGATCTTAGAAATGACTTCTACAGTTCTTTGCTCAGTAGATTTGCACATTACATGTCTCCATTACTTCAGCTGCAGACTTTTTAGAATGCCAGTAAATCTCATTAAATTACATATTACAAAAAAAATTGCATTTTGAATAAATCAAAGCTACCATATTAATCCAATTACCTAATGTGACTTCTGGCTGCAGAGCAGCCTTGTTCTGCAATAGACTATCCCAAAATGGAAATACTCACCCACACACAGGATGTTGAAACAAAAGCCATGGTTAACTGACTTATTAACCAGCTGGTCAGGCAAACTGTCAAATCCTACATGTCCAGAAAGAGGGACTGTACGGCAGCCTTCACCCTGGAAAGATTTAAAACATTTTTAAAAATTACTTCTAAATACAACATTCTAATCAATAGACACTTTTAAGATTTCCGAAGGGGAATGCGTCACTTCTTCCTTCTGCCAAGCAAGCCAAAAAACCAGATCTGTATATACTGTAAATCTTTGCTTCTTGTCAGTATACTTCCCTCACTGCTTAGAAATGGCTCCAGATAATGCAAACAAAATACCCAATTCCACTTGCACTGCAAAGCTGCTTTGCCACATAAATATATTCAAGAAACTATGATTAAACAAGTGTGTGTGTGTGTGTGTGTGTGTGTGTGTGTGTGTGTGTGTGTGTGTACACAGTTTATTCATAATCATTAAAGCTTTGAGGCGTAGGACTCTCAAGACTTTCCCTATAATGGAAACAACACTCATGCCCTCCCAGGGAAAATAGAAGTTAATTATCAGTAACTGTGGCTATTTTGTAATAAAAATGTCAAAATAACTTTGTTACTTATTCTTTCTAACCATCAAGTTGTAACCTTACCAATCAGACAATGGAAATGCAACATGCTTGTAAAATGTAAATATTTTAACAACTGCTGTCAACAGAACCTAAATGGAGAGCTGCTGAACATGACATTTTCCTGTATTGTTGCACATGCAAACATCTTAGTAACTGATTACAGTTAGTAAAATCCAAATAATGACTATCAGCAATAGGAAACACCCACAGCTGCCATCGTTGCAAGGACCAATAGGAAATAATTCTGCAGGTAGATTTGACTAGGTGACCCAACAGGACTTTTTCCTCTCTCTCTATTCTATACTATACTTCTGGGATTGTTGTGGTCCAAGCTATAGGCAATACTATACATAATTAGTGTTAGTTGGCAGACCATGTAACCTCTTGCATATTTATCACAAGAGGCAACAGACTGTCCAGGAAAATGCCATGAGTTGAAAATGAGTGCTGCAATTCAATTGTGTGGATCTGCAGAGAAGGAAAATTCTAGCTTCTAGATCAGGGGAGGGAAATCTTTATTGGGTTGAGGGCTGCTGACCCACAGAAAAATCAGTTGGGGGTGATGGTCACTACCTGCAGTGTGGGATTATTTCCTATTGGTCCTTGCAATGATGGCAGTTGTGTGTGTTTCCTATTGCTGATGGTCATTATTAGGATTTTACTGACTATAATCAGTTACTAAGATGTTTGCATGTGCAACAATACAGGAAAAATCAGGCAAGTGAGAAGCAAAAAAAACCCCAAACACATTTACAGTGTCGTTGTGGTCCTCAACTGAGAAGGAGAAAGACATGCCTCACAATCCCCTTGCACACCAGAGCCTGGGAGAGGGGGCTAACCTAGTAGATTTTGTGCGTTTCAGCCCTGCAGGGGGAGGGTTGGAGTGCCAATGCTGGGGGAGAAGCCTTGGGGGCTGGATCCAGGTAAGACGGGGGCCAGATGCAGCCCCTGGGCCTTAAGTTCCCCCCTTCACTGCTCTAGGTACATAGAACCTTGCATCAACAATTACTCCTCAGCAATGCTTTGCTACCCTCCTCCCCCAAACATCTGGCAGCCTGGTTCCAATAGTTAAGATTCTCATATGGTCAAAATGTTCCTACTGAGTCAAACCCAGAAGAGACTTTCAAACAGCAGCAACTGCCAGTCATCCACTGGCTCAGCTAGAAATAATGCTTGGAGACTGGCTGCCCCAAGACTCCATCTTTTCCTGTGTCACAAACAACACTGTTACAAAATAGGGATGTTGACAGGTACCCAGGGACCAGCTCCCCACTCATGGCCTAATTAAATGGGATTTTACATCCCTATGCCAAAACAAACAGCAGCTATGCCAGAACCACCTCAAGAGTGCAGCAGAGGGATTTCAGTAGAGTGAAAAGAAGCAGTCCTTTCTCTGACTTCCGCACCTGCCCATGAAAGAGGGATGTGTGGAGTGGATAAACCTTTGTTTCCAGGCCCCCTCTCTCATGCCAGGTACACAGAGCAGCTCCTCACCACCAGCCTTTTAGAAATATTCACCTAGCTACCTGCCACAGGTCAACTTACGATAAATCTTTCTGGACACAAGCTAGACATCTGCATAAAGATATTCAAAGTATATGCAAAGGTTCATATTCAGAGTCTGACTCATCCAAAATTCTATTTTGGTGTTAGTCTCATATTTGCACACAAATGTGCTAGGAAGAACAGTTTCTCTTAAGGATGTTAAATTGTGGTTATCTGACTAATTGTGTAGTTGATACAATTTGTACATAATTAGTCAATAAGAACTGCTATGAAGAGCTGCAGCAGGGGTAGCTCCTGGAGCTGGCTCGAGCCGGGATGGAGCTGGGAGGGGGTTCATTTACATTCCTAGTTTCTCCCTCACAAAGACATTTTTCTCCTTCAAGGCATCTCCCTAAACCAGGTATTCCAATCTCTAGTCCAGAAAATTCACATTTGGCCTTTTAAATTCATCATTAGTTTGTTAGAAGTACAGTGGCCAAAACCAGTGTGCGAGAGTGCATAAATGTCACTTTTTAGCCTCTCGGATTTCTCTCTTTACATATTGAAAATCCTTTTAAAAAAAGATCATAAAGTGTGTTTTTTTCTTTCATTGAACTACACATTTTAGAATAAGGAAAATGTTCTCTAGAAATGCATTAGGAATAGACTGCAACATGGATGCTATTGTTTTTTATCTGAAGCTCCACATAAACTCAAGCCATTAGCCATATTTACAGTCTTGTTATGTGTAAATATGTTAGCCCAGCCATATTTTGTGTGTGCGTCTGCTTCCTCCTGCCAACATGTTCACCAAATATGGCACTTGATGAATTCCAAAGCACCTTGCCTTGAAATCACATGTTTATGAGATGAATGCATTCTAGTCACCCAAGAAATGTTAGTTTATCTCAAGCGACTTCTGAGTATGCAGCTCTGCATTCTAATAATTCAAAAAGGAGTAAGAATTAGATAATATTGTACACAGGAGGTGAATCAGGTTGCAATAAAGTCTTCACAAGCACAAATTTAAACAAGCTAAGATAAAAACCAACAGAACACTGTCTGGCACAGTTTTGTCTCTGATAAACAATCACCGCTATCTTAATACCCTACTGGAAACAACCCATTGATGAGCACTAACAAAAGCAACAGATAAGGAATCACAAATAAGATTCTAAATTAGAGACAGAGACATATGAAGTGTTGTCAGTACTAAGTCTTAAATCTTCAGTATGGAAATATTACCTAAAACACTAAAACTTTAAGAATTCAATCCAAATTGCTGCAGGAAATGTGGGTGGAAGTATATGCACTCATTCAGAACACATTCTCTCTCTTCATCTCTAAATATACATGTGATACAGATGGAACAAAAAAAATTACCCATAAAAACAAGAGGCAAGCTATATTTCACAAGGTAGAACTCTATCTACAATTCACTTCCTGTTCACTCTTCTCTAGTCACCTGTGGTTTGAAAATACTGTTAGACCACACTGCACATCCGTTCTAGACATAGCAGCAAATACGGTGCAAATAACTGATTTTTAATCTTAGTATGCTAACCTTCACATTAAAACACAAAGACTACATAAAAAAAAACTTGATATATCAAGCTGTTATACACTGTTAAGTACTGTCGTAAAGATAAACAGCCCTGAAGAATGGAAATTAAGAGTCATAAAATGAAGCCCATCACTATGAAGTATAGTAGAGCCCTACACACCTAAAAAAACGCCACTAATTCTCATTGACACTTCAGTCCAGAAGTTGAGAGATAAGAAGCAGTGAAATTCATTGGAAAGTAAATGGTTTAGACTCAGGCTGCTTGAGGCATACCAGATCATCAGCAATGAGAAAAATCTGTGGGGAGAGGACACTCTTGGGCCAAAAACGTTCTGCCTGCTGGTAGCCTACTTATGCACATGGCATGTTTTCAGGACCAGGGCAAAACGTCACCTACTCAGAATGTTGCTACATGTAATGTCTATGTCAGAAACAACATACTGAGTGTTTCAGTGCAGATATGAATTAAATTTTGCTCTGAAGGAAAGCAGTTCAGTCTGTGCTGTATTTGTTTGGATGTGCACAAGAACCTCTGCCGTGAACTGCCCTTAATAAGATTTTACATATGGGATGTAAAACCTGGGATACACATTTTCTAGCATTGCTCAGCAAAGAAATCCAGGAATTTGTACACACAAGAGCTTATCTAGGTTAAGGCCATTATCTGACTGTTTCTTCTAACAAGATTGTCCTTTGATAATGGTGTCTAGTGGGGATGTAAAATCCTAGTTAATCAGTTAATGTTTAACTGGATAACTGACTAAGCAGGATCTGGGCTGGATCCCCAGTCCACAGGGCCCCTGTCCCCTATCCCATACTGGAGCTGACCAGGCCCTGCCAGTGGGGTGCCTAGACTGTCCATGGACAGAGACCCCCTGAGACGCTGGAACAAACCCCAGCCCAAGAAAGGTTGGAGCTGCTCTAGCCCCCATCAGTTACCAGTTAACCTGAACTGGTAAAAATCAAAAGCTTCAGAGGGGTAACTGAGTTAGTAACAGGAAAAACTTAAACAACAAATAGTCTGGTAGCACCTTAAAGACTAACAAAACATGTTGATGGTATCATGAGCTTTCGTGGGCACAACCCACTTCTTCAGTGACAGGAATGCTGGAAGTCCAGATCCAAGAATAAATAAGGGAAGGGGGTTGGGAGATAGAGAGAAAAAAAGGGGAGGGTATGGATCACATAGATCACATTAATGGATGTGCTGTTAAATGAGCCTCTGATTTGGCAGTTGATGTGGTTGGGTCCAGTGATGAAATGGTTGGTAGATGTGTGGGCAGAGATGGCACCAGGGCTGATTGCAGGTGAATTCCTGGATGATCATGATGGAGGTGTGTTGTGTGGTTACCGGAAATAATTTGTTTGAGGTTGGGGGTTGTCTGTAAGCGAGAACTGGCCTTTCCCCCAAGGCCTCTGAGAACAATGGGTCATTTTCCAGGATAGGTTGTAGATAGTTGATAATGCGTTTTCTTC